GAGATGTTGGAAGGGGGCGTGATGCCAGGGAACCCCTGAAGTCCTGGACTCCCAGGTGGGCCTCGTTCCCCTTAGGATGAAAACAGAAGACATTATTTTCAGCATTAGCACCCAACTTTCCAAATCTACTGTTTTCCCTCCACACCACCACCTGCGGTGGACCAGAGCCTAGTGAGTGCGACAGTGATGGGAGGCGCCCTCAGGCCAAGGATCATCTCATGATGGGGCTGGGGAGGCTCTCAGGGTGGGGTTGGGGAGGCAGGGGCTGTGAACCCCTCCCCCAACTCCAGCCTTTCTCCTGTGAGGAGCCCTCCACTGGGATCCTTCTGCCTGTGCTCCACTTCCCCAAGGCACTGCCCGATCATGCTTAGATGGAGCCTCAGCCCCAGGCGTGGCACAGCCGCTCAGACTCTGATCCTGATACATGTGGACAGTGGTCAGCACACGTGATGGACGGAAGGTTGAAAAATTGCTGCCAATGAGGCTTGCAATTGACATCAGTACGGTCAACCCTCCCTGTGGCTGTCCTCCAGTGCCTTGGATCCCAGCTTGGACAAAGTGGGTCCTCATTATTCACAGATTCTGTATGTCCCAACTTGTCTGCTCACTAAAACTCACTTGGAATCCCCCCCCAAATAAACACTGGCATTCACAGCTATACACGGAGGCAAAGCGAGTCCCAGCTGAGGTCCAGCAAGGTGACATTCCTGCCTTCTTGCTGCAGCTCACACGGTACACACATGTCCTTGTCTTGGTCTCTGTAGTGCCCTGTTTTCCACATTTTTGTGCTTTATGCTGGTGATTTTGCTGTTTCAGATGCCCCCCATGCATTGTGTTGAAGTGCAGCCTAGTGTTGGTAAGTGCAAGAAGGCTGTGAAGTCCCTTATGGAGAAACACATATGTAAGAGAAGCTGCGTTCAGGCACGAGTGAGAGTGCATGTTGAGTGTTCATGAGTCAGCAATCCACACTAAACGAGGTGCCGTTACACAGAAAACCAGGTTACATATTGATCATTGATAAACATCTTGTGAGCAGAGGCTTGCAGGAACCTAGCCTTGTATTTCCCCTAGGAGCAATGGTTTAGTATTCACAAAGTCAGTGTTCTTGGTGACTTCAGAACATAACTATGGTGAGTAACGAGAACCAACAGTTTTTGGGTCAAAGATTGGAGCTCTTTGGCACTAGTAGGGGAGTAAGAGAGAAATGGCCACATAAGGAAATCTGTGGAAATTCCACTCCTTCCTGTGCTGTCAGCCAACAAGACACTAATGGAGCTTTATGTGCTGTAGGGCAGTGGTGGGTAGAAATCAGTGTGGACCTGAGTCTGGGCGGATTAAGTCTACTTTCTCTCCTAACCACCTGCAGTCTTTTGTTTTTCCGGAAGGGCTGGGGACCAACATTAGTATTAGAACCCTGCAAAATGTCCGAATGTCCAAGTGGGCAAGGAGAGCATCATTTCCGCTCTGCAGGAGAGTGAGCTGGGCCAAACAGTGCAAATCTAGAAAAATGAGAAAACATAGCAACAGTGGTTTTCTGTTTCCTCTCTGACTTTACGACTAATCTATACCCATCAGTAGCAGGAAGAGATTTTCCCTTTGGAAGATCCTGGTATCTATTATCCATCCCATGGGAAAGGATTCCATTCATGCGTGCTTCCAAGTAGGACAAAACAAACAGCAGGAGAAATATTGAGAGAGGTGAGGCTTGTCTCACAAATCACAAACA